ATATTAAAAATATTATTATGAATTTAAAAATTAAAAATATATATATTTACATAAACTTGATGAATTAATTGATAAAAAAATAAAAAATATGTATTTTTTAAAATTAATTCGATAAAAGTAAAAAGAAAAATAAAAAAAATTAAAGGACAAAAATAATATAAAACAGTAAAGTTGAGGACTAAATATTTGGCAATTTAACCCCTACGAAACAAGCTAGTCCGGCTAGTTCTAGCATCCGACATCTTTTTCCCCACTTCTTACTTTCTTAGGGTTTTTCGAACTCTAAGCTCAAAAACCCGCTTAAACTCAGGTATGTCAATCTTAGCCTCCAGCTCAGTTTTTCCTCTGAATCTCTGTACAAAGATTGATCTTTCGTTCGGAACCCCTTGAAATGTTGCTAATTTTTAAGATCATCCCTCCCCTTTATTTCCGGTGAACGGAATTGGGTGCCCATTCGGCGTAATTTTAGTTAACGAAAATGGGTCCTGCGTATTGATGTCAACTGTGTATCTTTTTGTTTTGAATTTGATGCGTACGCAATTAGCTATGATGTTTCTTGGATTTAGATATATATAGATTCGTTTGTTTTCCCGAAGTTTACAATTTTTATCGTTCATTAGCTCGTTCTACTTTGTCCGAGGAGGTGATTTTTTTTTTTTTTTTTTTTTGTGGTTATTGAGAAATGTTCATAGAAATAGATGTCAGTATTCTAGGTTTTTGATTTTCTTAAGGAATAAGGGGTTTTCCCTTTCTTTTGGTGTTGCTGTTGTTGCCTTGATTTAATGGAGGAGTTTTACAGATGGAAAACCTTATGCCAAGATGATTAACCGATTTTGGAACACAATTGAGGTTTTTGAATCATGAAACGATTCCTTTTTATTCGATTGGAGCGGATTACTGTGATTTATAAGAATTGTTTTGAATGCTCTGACTGTATTATAACATGATTGTGATTGTATTTTCTGTTCTTTAAGGGACAGAACATAGCTCCTGGGCATAAAACCATTATTTCATGTTGGGTGGTAACATTTGTACATTTTGCAATTAGAAAATGCTATTTTTTCACAGATTGTATTCCTTGCAGGCACTCATTTAGAGATTGAAATCTAGTTTTTATTTTGTATGGCCTGTCTCTCTAATTCATTTATATGTACATTTGAATAGTATTCCCTGAATATGAAGTATGCCAGAGTTGCCACTGGGTTAAAATGCCTGTTGCTTTTGGCTAAATGCATGGTTTGAATTTATTGACCTACTACAGTCCGTAAAAGTACTGCATTTGGCTATTGCTAGATAGGTCTTTTTTGAAGAATTCTAATTCTGAATCTCATCTTTCTTGGCAATTGGTTCTTGACTGTAGCTCAAAATGGGAAGAGCAAAGTACATAATCTCTGCTGTTCTGGGATCATTTGCTGTTGCTTATGTGTCAGACGTGCTTGTTGCTGACAAGAAGATTTTTGGAGGCAAGTTTTTTGGCTTGAATTATGACACTTTGCTATTCTGTTGTTGCAGGGGTTTAACACATAGTGTTCTTTTCTTCTTTTCTCATCCCTTTCCCTTGAACTTCTTATAACTCAGGCACTACACCTAAAACTGTTTCAAGCGAGGAATGGTGGGAGGAAACTGACAAGAAATGCCAGGCATGGCCTCGTACTGCTGGTCCACCAGTTGTCATGAACCCCATCAGCCGCCAAAATTTCATCGTGAAGTCTAAAACTGAAGCCTGAAGACCTAATTTTCACATTTGATTAGTCAACGTATTTTTTTGCGCATTCTACACTCATAAAACTTTTGTTGCCAAAAATCATTTATTCTGGCCCTGCTTTTAGAGAAAGCCATTTTCGATTCAGTAGACGGTCCTTATTCCCTTTCTGTTTCGAACATAAGATGCATGCTGGATTGTTTGAAGATTGGTGTTAATCTTATTAGATCTGAATAAATGTCCATGAAGCAATACTAAACTGGTTATTGGATGATCCTTTTGGTTAGTATTTTGTTATGGAAAAAGTGTCATGCAGTTTGAATTATATCGGATTGCATAACACTATTGGATTGGGTTGGACTTCAATGACTCAAGTTTTGCAGTCCAGACTGCAAAATGAGGTTCCCTTTTGTTATACATGCTTTATCGCTACTTTAAAAAAAAAGGAAGTCATTATCCTTTTAGAACTCTTAAGTAGTTTGGTATCTAAATTTCCATGGTATTCGCCATTTTTTTGGCGGGAAGCCTTTTCTTTTTTTCCCGGAAAATTCAGCTTAGAGTTTTAGTGGGATTTAATCACTGTCACGGTTCATATTAATAATCTCCCGAAGGTGTGTTCTCTTCATCCATTTTTTTCCTTAGCCTCCTCAAATTTGATGGAGGAATAACACTTGCATCACAAACACAAAATTCATGGAGCAACATGGTAACTGGCACCAGATTTCATCGGTGGGAACGGAAGCACGACCGTCTGGCACCGATCCTGACGCTTATTTCAACTCCTTCCCGCCAGGTTTCCGGTTCAAGCCTACCGACCTAGTATTGGTCCAAGAATACATGAACAAGAAGCTGCGGAATCAACCGTTACCCCCTAACCGCATTCATGAGGTCGATATTTATAAATTCTCTCCTGAGGAGCTCTCTGGTTAGTATAATTCATCAAAAAACTAATAATCATCCTTTGTAAATTCATAATCAATGGAGTCTTGACGTAGCAGTAAGGTACATGTCTAGACTGAAACATTAAGTTTCAAATTCGAGTCCTACGTACGTACAAACTTTGTCCAATTTCATGTTG